TTTCGACATCTCCTTGCTTTGCCTAGCAGGTTCTTCGTCACTCCAAAGTTCTTCTTCAAACTCTTCTGTTGCAGAACGTTTTCCTGCTTTGCTGTTGTATGGGACATCTTCTGTGAAGACATCTTTGTCGATATTAGCAAATGAAATCCTCTGGTTTGGCCAGTCCATTATAGCTCCGGAAGTTGATAGAAAAGACCATCCGAGAATCACTGGATATGCTGCATCTCTCGTCTCGACAATGTAGAAATCGACAGGCACTATGCAATCTCCTATTCTCAAGGGAATTTCATGAGCTATTCCTTGAGGTGTTGCATTTGAATCATCAGCTAGACTAATCTTTGCTCTAGTCCTGCGCAGGTGTTTAATACCAAGTCTCAAAGCAATTGCCTTGGACATCATGTTAAGACAAGCTCCAGAATCACATAGCACGTTTTAAACATTTCTCCTCTAATAGAACAAGAGATAAGAAACTGATCTACACCTTCGATTTTGTGAAGTGTTCGAACAAGTTTACCTTTTCTGGCATGATTGAACAAATCTTCTATCTCAGGGATTAATTCTTTGCTCTCACAGAAGTAATGGCCTATTATGAAGTCTTTGCAAGCTCTGGCAAAGGTGATTCCTTCAGGCAAATTTCGAACCACATCATTGAATTCGTCGAGCTTTTCCTTGCTGATTTTGTTGGTGTAGTGGCTGCAGTCTTCAGGCTTTTTGAGGTGAATCGCATAGACAGCTACTTCTGGTGTTGTCATGTATCGAGCTCTCATAAAGTATCTATGGATATCCTCTTTAGACTCCTTGCAGTACCTGAAAAAAGACTTGCAAACGACCAAGCTTCCAGATTTCATCAAAACTTAAGTGAGCAGGGAATGACCTGACTACGTTGTTGAATTCCATTAGCTTCTCTCTACTGATGTTGTTTGTGATCCATTGAATTTCTTCTGAACTGTCTTCTGAGGTATGTCCTGCGTTTGGATCTTCTACAAACAACCCATACTCTTCATCTTCAGAGTATTGTTCTTCATACTCATCTTCACAAGACAAAGCCATATTGCAGGGCCATGACTTGTCCTTGTCTTCAGATCGTTGGGTGCAGATGGAGCAAACCAGTTGTTGATGGAGCGGTTTAGTCATCCCAGGAGGTGTATCAGACGTACAGATGCTTGTATGAGTAGAACGGGACTGTTTTGGAACGTTTTTCCGGTTGGCCATGACTGCAGGTGACGCGACGCGGGAAAACGACCATGGGCCGCGGGTAGGCCTAACACGACCGCGGGAATTGGCTTCCTGGCCGCGGTCGGAGGCGACGCGACTGCGGGGATTGGTCTCCGAGTTGATTTGCTGCTGTTGCTTGCTCCTTTGCTTCCTGGATCGTCTCCTGGGTCTTCTGGCTTGATGTACTTCCTCTCTAGACTTGATTCTTTAGTTTTGGTTGCTGGAATCTGCTCTCCAAGCCCTTGCATGATCTCCTCAACCTTTTCTTCAACTTCATCAAGAGCATAGACTACTTTGTCCATGGTTAAGTCAAGCTCTTCGGTTTTGTCAATGACTTTGTAAACCTTCTATGAAACTTCGATCGTGAAGTCATAAGACTCGTTCTTAGCTTCGTTTAGGGCTTTGTCCACATCATCAAGTTTGAAATCCAGGTCCATGACTTTGTTTTTGGTGTTGCGAAGCTCATAGGTGTGCTTTGCTTGCTCTTCCTCCATGCTGTTGAATCTATTAGCGATCATAGCTGCGTCCTTGGTTGCTCGTTCTTCTATTGAATTGACTTGTGAGGCTACGTTATCAGTTTTCTCATTGAAAAGTTTCGATATCCCGTCAATCCTTTTGTTTAGAGCAGCTGTCGCGGTTGCTTGAGCTTCTATGAACTGTCAGATCACGCCTTCGAGCTGACTCAATCTGTTGCTGAGCTGGACATTCTCATCTCGGTGGAGAATTTGGTGAGGTAGGCGATGCATAGGATATCTAGGGTTAGCCATTGGAGGAACGTAGTAGGGCTCGTTCTGGAACGTTCTGTAGTCTTTGGTTCGAATTTCTTCGTAGAGATCGCGTAGATGCTGCTTCTCTCTGCGTCTGGTGGCTTGAGGAGTGTTATAGAAACCTTCCTCATAGTGTATATTTCGATTTATAGGATCCATATCCTCTGAAATGGAAACAAAATAACCGAAAAATGGAAATATGCAGAAAAAGGGGTTCTAGAGTCGATTTACCAACCTTTCTCGGGGTTTTGCGGAAAAGAAAACGCGTGCCTTCACCGGCAACGGCGCCAAAAACTTGATGTGTCGGTGTGGTGAGGGTTGTCAAGTTTTACCTTAGATGAAATCAATAGCCGCAAGTGCACAACTGATCGATTGTAGTACTTAGGGATCGAATCCACAGGGAAGGAGGATCTTTTCCTGCAAAAGCCTTTGAAAGAAATATAAAGTAAGGAAGTCTAGAACCAAACGGTTTTTGTGGGGGTTTTGGTAGTTTGTTTAAAATGTAAAAACGAAATCTAAAAAAAAACTACGGGAATTAAATGGCCTAATAACTAAACTTAACGAAAATGAGTAAAAATGAGAAAAACGGATATTCTAATGACTTAAATGAAAATCGACTAAAAAGAAATGAGAATATTGAACAAAAGCTTGAAATAAAAACGGTGTGAATCTATAGGAACGAAGCGTTGGGCTTCAGGGAAGTTTTCTCACGGGTACGAACGATTCAAAACATTGCTAGAGAGTAAAATTGATAAGATCTTAGCTTAAACTTTTCGAACTGGAGTCACGGACGTATGAATACGCCACTGTCGTGATCATAGACAACTATCTCTCTCGACCCTGACCAGTAGGTTTCCAGTCTGGCCCTGGAGAAGAAGAGATGCATTATGTTTAAGACTCGTCAGCATTCACAAATCGCCCATAGGTAGGTTTCCACTCCTATGTTTTTTTTGCTCTCCCAAACTAGATCTGACACCGGATGAACACTTTCGTGTCACCAAGCATCTGGATCAGATTGTAGTTCATGACGCTACTCTCATGCAGTAAAAACGAATTCAGAAGAAAAAGTTCTAAGATTCGGCTCAAAAGCTCATGGAATACTCATCGAACATATAAATCCCCGTCGAAAATCCCTTAATCCCAACAATAAAACTACTCAGACATAATGAACGAAATCAGAAACATAGTATTAATAAGTAGAATAGAAACCGAAATTGAAAAAGAAAGAACAAGGGTTCAAGAGACAAATCTCTCTCTCCCTAAAAGCTAAAGTAAAAACAATAAGAAAAATATGAAGTAATGATTCGGTTCTCCTTTTTAGGGTTCCTAAAACATGTATTTATAGTGCTCAAGACATCTCTGGACGTCACTTAGGGTTTCTCCAAATGAGGGAATCATTGTGGGCTTCAGGAATAGGCCTTCGAGCTCGGAGTTGGCTGGCCGCGGTCGGGATGGCTGTGACCGCGGGGAATGGATGGCTGGCCGCGGTCGCGGTGCTTCTGACCGCGGGAAATTGTTTGTTGGCCGCGGGTGGAAACGCTTGCCGGCTGGTTTTCGGGACATCTTGCTCTTCGCGTTTCTTTTGATTGAACCGTTGGATTGCCAAGCTGTAAAGTGTGCTGGAAAGCTGATACTTCCATCTTTAAGATCTCCAAATTTGAGCTGGATTAGACGGTGAGAAGGCCTTCAATCAGGGGTGAACTTCTGACGGTTGGACTCTAAGCTGAAATCTGGTTTTCTATCCATTTTGTTAAGCTTTTCCCTAAGTTACCTGAAAAGAGTCTTGGAACTACAAATACTAGAAAAACGTAATAAAAGTACTTGAAAGCAATTAAAAACATAGAAAAAATATTTCAAAACGATCCATAAAACTGGTCAAAATACAGTGTTATCAGTTACCAGCATCAAATACAACGGAGTGTCCAATGATTACCTTTTCTACAAGCTGTTTCCTTATTCTCTTGCTGGAGAAGCAGAGAAGCAGCTAACTGGCTGAAGCAGTTGGAGCCAGGATCACTTACTACCAGGGAAGAGACCAGGAACGCCTTCCTGAACAACTTCTATGGCGATGCCAGGTCTGAGGAGCTGAGACTCAAGATCTCCATTTTCTCTCAAGGACCGACTGAGGCATTCAAAGCCGCTTGGGTGAGATTCAGGTCGTATCAGCGAGATTGTCCCCATCATGGTTTCATCACCGATATGCAGCTGTTGGGTATTTTCTTCAGAGGTGTTGATTGGAGGTATCAGATGGCTCTTGATGCTGCAAGAAATAGGAATTTCAACACCAGGTACCCTGAAGATGCTGTTGTTTTCATTGAAAACTTGGCATCTAGCAAAGTACCAACAATGCAGTCTATCAGCGAAGGAAGCAGACTGGGAACATGGATGGATCGCAGGTTGCTGAGGTGAAGGCTAAGCTAGACTATGTGCATAGTCTTCTTGTGGGTAAGAAATCTTTCAGATTTGCTGCAAAGGTTAAGAATTTCGAACCAGATGAAGCACTTGAGGAAGAGGATGTTAACATCATCAATGGAGCTGGATTTCAGGGTCAGAGATTTGGTACTCAGCAAGGAAACATGAATTACAGTGAGAATAATCAGAGGAATACCTTCACAGGTAATGAGAACTCTTCTGGTTACAACTCCAAACCTGATCAGTACCAGACATCCTACTCCAACAACAGTTTTTCAAGGAACTATGGTTCTCCTCCTCCTCAAACTCCAGATAATGAGGTGAAGTCTATGCTGGAACATATCCTGGAAGGTCAGCAGAAGATGACTGTGGACTTTAATGGGAAGATTGATACTCTGTATCTGGATCTGAATAGAAAAATCGAAACTCTGAACACTCATGTCAAGAAGCTTGATACTCAGGTTGCTCAGACTGCATAGTCTGTAAAAAAGCAAGAAGGATTCCTTCCTAGGAAGACTGACACCAATCCTAGGCATTACTGCAGTGTCATCTCGTTGAGAAATGGTAAAAAGTTAACTCATGCTCTTAAAAAGGGTGTTTCTGAGGATGAAATCGTGGAATTGTAGGAATCTGAAGAAGATTTCAAAACTGCAGAGCCGGTGTCGAGCGACAGCACCACTAGTGTGGCGCGACACCAAATCGAGACGAAGAAGAAACCAGCAGTGTCGAGCGATACCACCACTAGTGTCGAGCGACATCAGCCACCAACTGAAGCAGATATCAAAGAAGCCAAAGCCAGCAGAGGAAAGAGTTTACAAACCTAAGATTCCTTACCCAAGGAGTCCTAAGAACTCTAAGCAGGAGCTAGATGATGAAGGATGCAAGGCTTTGATGGAGAAGTTTGTGATTGAAATTCCTTTGGTTGATGCTGTGAAGATTAATCTTGTTCTTAAGCGTTATGTGAAGAGGATGGTGACTAATAATCTGAGTCATGAGGAAGGAGTGATGATGATTTCTGAATAGATCATTGTTGTGATTCAGAAAAGATTTCAGAGAAGCTCTCAAACCCAGAAAGCTTTGACTGCTCTATCTTCTCAGAGATGTTCAAGAGATCGCTGTGTGATCTTGGTTCGAGTGTTGACCTAATGCCACACTCTGTAGCTGTTAGCTTTGGGATGATTGACTTCAAGCCAACAAAGATCTCTTTGATCCTAGCAGATCGATCGAAAAGAATCCCAAAAGATGTCTTGGAGGATGTTCCGATTAAAGTTGGTGATTACATAATTCCTACAGATTTCGTGGTTCTGGAATATGGAGAGGAACCCAAAGATCCTCTTATCCTGGGAAGATCATTTTTAGCTTCAGCTGGGCGGTGATTGATGTCAAACATGGTAACTTTGATCTCCACCTGGGAGATACATCCATGAACTTCAAGATGAAGAAGCTGAAGGATCCAACCATAGATGGTCAGACATTCCAAGTCAGTCCAGTACTGGAAGTAATAGTTGGAGATCAGAAGGTGCTTGATGATGAGAAGGTGATAGATCAACCTGAGTTGACTAAGACATCTACAGAACTAGTAGCTGCTATTGAGCAGAAATATCAAAACATCATGCTCCATTCAACTCCACCAAAGCAAAGGTACGCACCTCTTGAGCCTAATCCTAATTCTTGTGATATCAGCAGAACTGATTTGAAAGATGCAGACTCTGTCTCACGATGCAAGCTACGAGATTATCGTAGAGCACTTGGTTTTTCGATTGATAATATTGCAGGGAATACGTTAAAGCTGTCCAAACACAGATCTCACCCTGGTGCTATTCCGGCATTCCTTGGACGACCTCATGCGCACAACGCTTACACACCACCATGGATGAGACGATTTTCACAGAGACATTCTTTGCCACTATCTTATCCACCAGATGCATAGTCCATTCATCAAGTCAAGTTAATGACTTAAAACAAGCGCTTGGTGGAAGACAATCCACTGGTAAGTTTGTACATAAGTCTTTTTGTTTCAGTTAATTTTCATTTTTCCTTTTCGTGTTTTAGGTGAAGCAGAGGCTGGTGTCGAGTGACAACACCATCGATGTCGCCTGCCACTTGCTTCTGTTCACAAAAAAATTAGGAAATCAGGAAACCAGAATCAAACCAGAAATTTGGATGGATCTGCTGCAATTCGGTACGAGGAGAACGAGTGTCGCACGACACCATCATCAGTGTCGGTCGACACCATCATCGCAGCCAGGTAAGTTCTCCGTTTTACTGCGTTTCTCTGTTTTCTTTCTTTTGTTTCACCACATTCGGGCTAGATAACACTGGGTATAGTGTTGTTTAAGTCTGGGGGAGATAGTCGCTGACATTGTGTTTGTTTTTCTTATGATTCAGTCGTGTCAAATTTTTTTTGAGTTATTATGCTGACCTTTCATCTAACTGAGATTATTATGCTTTTCTTGGAATTATTATGCTGATCTTTCATTTAAGTGACCATTGCTGAAGAATCAGTCTAGATCCAACTATTAAAAAATCGAAAGGCTGACCAGTTGACTAGAGGCGTCCATGTTTTCAACAAAGTCCACTAACCTGAACTAATTTATGAACTCTTTCTTTTACCTCATTGATGTGACTGATGTTCATATAGCTTGATTCATTGTTCATACTTGACAAATGAAAGCCTGTGTGAGATCTAAAATTGGTGTTTCTCTCCCTTATGATCAGTATAAAAAAAAAAGAAGGAAAAAGGCGAAAAGATTGAAATGATTTTCTTCTAGGAGTAAAGGGCTACGAAAATTTCCAATGATCCCATTATTTTTCTTCTACGAAGGAATGATCACACAGAGGAAGGAAGCGAGGGGTAGGAAAGTTTCCTATGACCCCATTATTCGCCGAAAACCTTTGATACATAGTAAGGAGACAAATCGGGGATTCGATGGCAAACACCATCAATACTCGCATCTTTAACCTTATCGTGTATATGCCATAAAAGATGAGAGTGCGAAAAAAATAAGTCTGGGGGAGAGAAAAGTACCAGAGTTCGTATGGCTGATTTGTCAAAGTATAGCACGGGAAAGAGTCTAGAAGGTTCTTAGTATTGGAATCATTGATAAGACCCAGCGATGAGGGTTTATAGACAATGTTGTAGAATTTTGGACTTAATCTGGGAAGCTGTGAATGTCCGCGGAGAAGTAAATGGTGGTTTGATTTGATATTGAAGCAGTATTTGAATTACAGGTTGATCGATCAAAGCGATGTTCAGGTGAAAAGTTGAATCTCCGTGTTTTTCAAACCTCTTTCTCTTGCTTGGTATTCTGTTTGCTTGAGGGCAAGCAAATGCTAAGTCTGGGGGAGTTGATATATCATGGTTTTTATGGTTTTTGACCATGATATAAGTCTTATTTATAGAGTCATTTTAGTGTTTTTTGAGTCTTTTATAGTCTTTACAGGTCTTAGGTGCGTTTGGAGATTAATTGGATATGTTGGAGCACTTTGGAGCTAAACCAGGATCAAATTCGTGAAGGATAAATCATGTGCTTTAGTGTCGCTTGACACCATGGAGAGTGAAACTCAACACCGATTGCAGAAATAAGGAAACGTGATTTTGTCCAAGTTTCGAAGAATTTCTTGGGCCCAGAAGTCTCCAATATTTACAAAGAAGCCCAACACGTGATTGTTAGTATTTATTAGGGTTTTTAGCCACCAATATCGATACCTTAGATTTTCTGAGAGAGACCTTTTGATTTTTGTTCTTCGAGACTTTGAGAGAGCTTTTAGGGAGACAAGTCTGAAACTATGCTAGGGAGAGAGAAGAATTTGAACCCATGTTTATTTATATATTTACTGTTTTTTACAATCTATTCAAACATGTTCATTGTTTCAAACTTCATGTCTGAGTAGTTAGCTTGTTAGGTTTGGGGTTCACATAAGGGATTTCATTGGATGTTAGATTGTTTGATTAGTTAGAGTTGATAATCTATTTAGTTCTTCACCATAGGTTGTTCTTAAAGCTAATTCTGGACTGACCACCTAGAACTTAGATCATTAGGTTAATTGGTTGACACGAAAGTGTAATTGAATAACTGGAAAGAACCTAGGGTGAGCAAAACAGCTATTCCCAAAGGAATTTGGTTTAGATGCTTTGTGAACATATCGAACTTGAGCATTAAAGCTGGTTTAAATCTCTAGGGTTTGTAAAGGAATTCAGAATTCTAAGATTTAGATTTAAATAATTCTCACAATGGAAGTTGGTTAATTAGAATTTTGTGATTTGAGTTCAAGAACCATGCTTAACACTGAACCTTGATTAATAGATTTATCTGCATTCTTTGATATCCTGAGAAACGCCCTAAGCCTAATTTCCATCCATTCTAGTTTAACAAACGTTTTTATTGCATTGTTATTTTTACTTCTCATTATTCTGCTTAGCTTAATTCGAATTCTAATAGGTTTATTGAGTGAATTTCTCGTCTCTGTGGTTCGACCCCTGCAATACTACAACTGCACATCTGTGCTCTTGCAGAGTAGCTTAGGGATTAAACTTTGAGCAGATCAACCTTGCCAATTGTACACGACCTGACATATCATTTGTATGATTCAGCTCGTTTCCTACACGAAGCCCAATCATAAACAGGATATGTGTTCACGATCAGAGGCACTGCTATATTTTGGTGTTCTTAGAAACAGACACTTGTGGCCACTTCTTCAAATCATGCTGAAACCATCGCGCTCCATAAATCAAGTAGAGAATGTGTATGGCTGAGATCAATAAGTCAGCAAATCCAATCACGCAGTGGAATTTGCCTAAATAAACCAACTGTCTTATATGAAGACAATGATGAATGTGTTGCCCAGATAAAGGAAGGATACATCAAAAGTGATAGAACCAAACATATGCCTCCAAAGTTTTTCTTATACACTCAAGAAATCGAGAAGAATAAAGAAATTGAAGTAAGATATGTTCAATCATGTGAAAATACAGCAGATCTCTATGAAATCATTGTATACCACTATGTATTGGAAACATGTTCATAATATTGGAATTGCATCATCGGCAAGACTTATAAAATGACATCTTAGTCATTCAGGGAGAGCTTGTGTAGTTGTACTTTTTTTACCTTCTTGTAATTTTTTTCACTGAGTTTTCCTTGAAACGTTTTTAACAAAGCAACAAAGACATAATGCAAGAGACAATAGTGACACTGGTCTCCAAGGGAAAGTGTTATGAAAGAGAGATAACCTGAAACACTCCTCTAAGAAATTATTTATTCTCTCGTCTCATCCTTCATTATAGCGTCTCCCTCGCGGGTCCCTCACCTTTTAATGAGCTTTGAAATCTCCAATTTGTCCTTGTAGTTTTGTAAGAAGTAAATTATAAATTGAAAAATCGGCCAATCATAAATAAGCAGAGATAAACCAATCAAGAGCGGCGAAAAAATAATTCGTCCAATGAGATATAAGCATGAGTAGCCAATCAGAAACGAGCTTCTCAAAATTTTACCAATCAGGAGCGTGTCGACATTTTTTTAGGCGCCAAAAATTTAACCAATCAGAACATGCTTTGTCTTCTTGTCGGGGACCAGGTTGAAAGAGAAACCATATTTGACCAGCTCGCTCGCTTCACCCCAGCGATCGCTAGAGAACGAATTCTCAGAACTCGAATCCTTCTTGACATTTTGCTGCACTCATCCCACATTGAAGCTTAATCGAGGTAGTTGACATTTCGTTGGATATTCTTCTTCATTTTGTATTGGAAAGTCGTTGCCCTAGAACCACGATTGGGATTAAATTCGATTATTGAATAGGCAATGGTATACTATGGAAATGGTAATTGGTTGCTAATCGAATAGGTATTTATTGGATTTGAGGTTTAGATGCGGTAAATCGAGTTAGATTAGAGTTCCTCCACGAGTTGACAATTAGATCTTATTAAATGAGAGAGATAGAGTAACAATTAGTATTACCTGTATATAACTGGAAACAGTTTTTATGCGGTTGAGTATGGTCTATGTGTTATTTTTTCAGGTGATAATGATAACAAACCTATTTTTGATTATGGGGGATATTATTGAACTTCGGAGGATAAATGGATTTCAGCCCCAGTTTCCATGTATGGTATAATGTTTAAGTCATCAAGTTTGGAGGAGACTACCTATTCTGATATAGTCGAAAAGATATGCACGAAGGTTGGGATTGTTGAATCTTCGAGTAAGTTGATACTGAGTTATATTCCGGTACTAGTGCAAACTCAGAAACAGTTTTATATTTCGAATGATGATGACTTAGTCGTGTTCCTGGCCTCACTGGATAAAGAGAGACGCAGAAGTATTATTAATTTAGAGGTCATCAAAGGTGTTGAAGTTGGAGAGGAATTTTCCAGAGT